AGTATCCCTAAGTACCCCCTCAGTGCCAACAGAGTAAACCTCAGTGCCTCTCAGTATCACCTCAGTGACCACAGTGATTACCTCAGTGCTCCTCAGGGCTACCTCAGTCTCTCAGTAGCAACCTCTGTAGCACTCAGGGTTTTTTCAGTACAACTCAGTGGGTTTTGTTTGATTCTCAGTGCCTTTTGAATTCAGTAGTGCAAGCATCAAAATCCTTTACCCTGAGGTTATGAATTTCATACTTTTGAAAAGATTTCCTTGCTCGTCATAACCATCAATTAGTTTTTTTCTGTTAAATTCCCAGGGGCAGAGAAAAACAAATACATTTCTACTATATATTAACCCCCTCCCCGACATGAATATTTTATGATTTTGGAAGAGGCATCCTGATCATTATAACCAAACACCTAGTTTATTTGCTACATACAAAGGAGCAGAGAAGATTTTCAAAGAATTAATGCAATTTCGCTATATAATTGATAGAACCACGCCCTAACATCAGAACCCCTAACCTAGGGGCCAAGATATTCACAATTTTGGAAGAGTTCCCCTTGTTCATCATAACTATATACTTGGTTTATCTGCTGAATACCCAGAGGCAGAGAAAAAAATTTGCAAAGAATTAATGCAATTTCACTATATAATGAATAGAGCTCCACCCTAACATCAGAACCCCTGATCCAGGGGCCAAGATATTCACAATATTGGAAGAGGCGCCCTTGCTCATCATCACGATATACTTGGTTTATCTGCTAAATACCCAGGAGCAGAGACGATGATTTTCAAAGAAATAATGCACTTTCATTATATAATCAATAGAGCCCCCCTTCCTACAGAACCCCTCACCCTGGAGCCACAAATTTCACAATTTTGGAAGATGTACCCTAGATCATCATAACCATGCACATAGTTTATCTGTTGTATATACAGGGGAGAGAAGAAGATTTTTAAAGAATTTATTCATTTTCATCATATTATCAATAGAGCTCCACCCTAACACCAGAACCTATGCCCCTGGGGCCATGAATTTCACAATTTTGATGACAGTTTGACTGCTTGATATCCAGAAGTAAAGAAGATTTTTAAAGATAGCACTAATTTTGATTGGTTTAACCCCACCCCTCAGGCCCCATTGGGATATGGAACATGAAATTCACAAAGTTTGTTCCCCTTTACCCATAGATGCCATATGCTAAAATTGGCTCAAATTGGCTCAGCAGTTTGAGAGAAGAAGCTGAAAATGGTCAAATGTTAACACACGACGAATGACGGACGACGACGGACGAAAATAGGTCACCTGGGTGACTCTGTGAAGGAAAAGGCAGATGCAGTTCTTAATCTAAGACACATGATATTACGGAGAAACCTCAGTTCAATAACTGTAACAAAAACATAGCTATTTATCAAGATTCCATCTATATTACATTTGTATATACAAATGTACTTATTATCATTTCAATGGCAAACAAGTGAAATTTTTCGATCCTGGAATAGCTCCCTCTCCCATACCATTTTATTTTTGCAAACGGCCTTAAAGGCAGATGAAATTGATTGATTGGGACGTTAATTCTTCTTAAAGTTACAGATGCTTGTGGACAGAAACACACCCACTGACCTTAATATATACACAAATTGGCTCTTTTAATCTTTGTTTCATAAATGCTTCTAGCACATTAACAATGTATCAATATGAAAAAATAATAATAACGATAGAATATTAAACGTTTCATTAAAAGATCATACTCACAGGATCATTAAATATGATACCACAAATACCACAACTATATATGATTTTTAAAAAATAAACTTTATTTTTAGACTACCTTGTGGGCGTTTTAGTGTAAAGCAACGTAATAAATTTTCATTATTACAATGTTATGCATTGACATACTTTCTTTTAAATATAGTCAAACAAGTTGTGTAGTACAATTTGTAAAATTACAAATTTACAATGTACAAATTAAGCTTTACATATTTTTTTTAATAAATTACAGAGATGAACCCTTTGGCTTTCCATAAATTACAATTAAGATTGACTCTCGCGCTATCTAGCGTTGATTCAGTCAATGATTGTTTTGCAACGGTGATCATTCGTTTTGTAGCAGAGTCTCTTGTTTTTACAGTTGAATCTGTTGATTTTATTTTCAGCTGTTTGTTTTGTATCTCAGTGTGTTTTTGCAAATCGTTTGTTCGTTTTGTATAAACGCCATTTATACATGTTACCTTCTTCCGCCACCCATGCTTTTATATTTTATGTGCAGGTAAAATTCTTAAGTATCCAGCAGCAACAAAGCAAGTCATTCACGCACATTAACAATCACACCGAAGTGTGTTAAAAATTAGATTAAAAGAACAATTTTTTGTATATCAAGATCAACTGATTCACTATTTGAGTTTGAACAGCTTTTTGGTGCCAGAACCATTATGAGGTCAAAATCAATTCAAACTCTCTTTTTATCCTACTTTACAGTTATCATTAAATATGTAGAAAATGAAGTATTTTCACAACATTTCATTTCAAATCATGTGAAACGTAATCCGGATACCCGTATTCAATCTAATATTACTGCACGTGTACATGAATTGATGTATTTAAAATTTAGCGCAATCACGGGGCATGGAGTGGTTGGCGTAATCATCAATTGTCATAATTTATAAATGATATGAAAATAACAGTATTTATGAATTAGCCCATCTTTCTCCACACCAAAGCCGCTAAAATATAAAGCCCGCTTTTTTTGAAGTACACATACAGTTTTTTAAAGAAGAAATCATGAACATACAAATTACCATCTTCTGAGAGACTGTAGACAATCTGGATACATTTGATTTGTGTGATATGAATAAAGAATCCAATATATATCTGATTTATTTTCATTAAAAGTAACAGTTTAAACTCATTTATTGTGCTTACCGAAAAAATTATGTCTCGAAACAACTTATTTAACCAAGATATGATACATAATAAACCATGGTTAAAAGAATGCGTTTCGCAAATTTGAAAAAAACTTGCAGGCACCTTCCTAGATCTTGACCTGAAGTTACTTCATAGTTTAACAATTTGTACCTACCGTCCATCCTCCTCCGTCTGTTGTCATATCACAGAACACTTTCTTTTTCATGCCTTTTTCAGGATAGATTGTGTACACACCATCATTATTTCTACGATGTGGTTTCGTTTTTAAAATGTCAGCACAATCCTTGTACTTCCTCTGAACTGTCAATCAAGGGATAGAACCGAAATTTTAGGTATGCTTTAAGGTATGCATGTTATCAATTTCTATGACATTTGCATTAATTCTATGCAATCTACCTTCTTAATAAAACGTATCCTTACAATTTTTGGAGAAAACCAATCCTCCTTCAAGTTTGTACTTAGATTTTAATGTCAGAATCATTGGTCCTTTGAGGGATGCCGACATTTCTGTATGCTACCAAGATGCATGCTTCAAGAAAGAACCAACTTCACCTGAAGAAAAATATTTCACATTAAAATGGAAGATATAAAAATGTTTATTTATTTTCAACATTTTGACATCCAAATGCTTAGGGATTGAATTTTCCCAACCTATAAGATAAAAAAAATAAAGGTATTGTAGATTAAAGAACCGTTCAAATCCATTCAAAAAAGTCCAAAGTAGAAAAGAAACGGGAATATTTAAACCGACTATTGAAATCCTTTGCTAAAATAATCCCGACTTTCATGTGTAATTCATGATTGTTTGAATCATAATATACCTTTTACAAAAGGATGTGGCTTTATTCCCGAGGAATCTGCTTTTAAGGGAACAATTAGACACAAAACACATATCACGGTACACAAAATTCTTCCCTGAAATATTTGAGCGTTTAGAAAAAAGCTGTAATAAATATTGCGTGTCAGCACTGTGTGAGCTACTTAATTGATACCTACTGTCATGCAAATCTGTAATTACTTTAGAAAAAATGCCCTCTTTTCTGAAATGACGCTGGTTACTATAGTATTATTTACGTTTGAATTTTATTTCATTTTCATCTTTGCAATTTAAAACATCAATACTATTACAGAACCTTGATTTAACACTGTAATATATATTGTCTATTAAAAATGGAAAAAAACAAAAAACAAAAACATAATAGATAAATAATACTCGTGGCATAAAATAGATATCAATAATAAGTGCAATAATATCAGAAATGGATCCAAATCAATTCTATTGAATCGGTATTGACCTCTCATGAATCAATACCAGTATATTTTTTAGTTATGTCAATGATTACACCTTAACATATATCATTTAGCAAAGCATTTCTTTGGTGAATTTCTGCTTAAAGCACATTAACGTAATATTTGAGTACTCAAATTAAAGGCAGCTAGACTAAAAACTTCATAACAAAAACAAAAACAATAAAATAAATAAAAATATATATATATGTACAATCAAATATAGAAATAACGAATAGTAATCAAGCTCAAAAGTAGTACTATACTGAAAAAAAAAATACAAATCGGGATGACTTCTTTTATCTGCTTGAGTTCGACCAAAGAGATGTCATTTGCATCAGCTGTTGGGAACATTAAAATTTGAAAAATATAGGTACAGCTACAAAAATCTTTAAAGTTCAACAAAATAGAATTATCTGGGCATGTATGAAAGAGTATATTTGTATGTTTTCACCCAGATTTATTTGCTTTGTTTAACCTAATGTCACAATTGTTTTCCAGAACCTCTGCCTATGGAAGTCCTAACCTACCTGTGAATTCTTTAGTTGATTTATTTTCCATGATATATTTCGTCTTCTTTATACTTTAAATAAAAAAAAAAAAAAAAAAAAAAAAAAAAAAAAAAAAAAAGGCATCTTATGGTCTATAGACTATATATTGCAATTTAAAATCAAATTTATTCTTGTATTTCTAAAATGTTTTTTTTTTTTTTTTTTTTTTTTTTTGCAAAATAATTCAAAAAAGAATTATATCAGTCGTTAATTCCGGAAGAAGAAAAGGTTTGTATTTTCGCTTAATGACATATTTGCATGACAGTAAGTATCATTTAAATATCACATTTAAAGTTTGACACGCAAGATTTTGTGTAGCTCTTCCAAACAATCGTAGCTTGCAGCAGAGAATGGTTGGGTTGTTGATGTGCGTTTTGTGTTTTATTGTCCCTTTACAAGCAGATCCGTCTGGAATAAAGCCGCAGCCCTTTGTAAAAGGTAGCTTTTATCTGATATATACATGAAATACATATAATTATTTTTTGTTTAGGCCAAATAAAAAAATACGTGTGGTTCCGGTTACCCGACCTTCCCTATTTTATACCCCCGACCCTAACCTTTTTTGGCAATTTTCATATTTTTTCCGGAATTTTCCCCAATTTCCATCAATGGCTCTGGTTTAAGTTTTAGTTTCAGCAATGACGGCCTCCTTGCAAAACATAGTGCAAGTGTTTAATAGTATTAAGTCCAAAGCAATCTAGCATGTAGGTGTCCCCTACCAATATTGACTAGTATATTATCACATCACATCTAAATGCCATTTGCAAAGCAGTGATAGGTATTATTTAGAAAAATTGAGAAAATCATTTGTTAAAAAAAAAAAAAAAAAAAAAAAAAAAAAAAAAAAAAAAAATCCCTACCTACCTACCCTATTTTTTTTTGAAAGTGTAACCGGAACCACACATATTTTTTTGTTTGGCCTTATCATCATTACATTTATACTTTTCTTTTTCTTTTTTTAACAGTTTTTTTTAATAGTTTATACATAGAAACAGCTCTTACAGGTTGAATTTTATCCTTGAAAATTCAAATTATCCGTGAAAATGTGAAAAATCAGTCATAAAAATTTGAACACTTTTACTTCTTTCACATCTTAATTTTTGATGGCAAGTATTTTTCTTCAGGTGAAGTTGGTTCTTTCCTGAAGCATGCTCCTTGGGAGCACACTGAAATGTCTGCATCTCTCAATGGACCAATGGTTTTGACCCTAAAATCTAAATACAGACTGGACGGAGGATTGGTCTTCTCCAAAAATTGTAAGGAAGTTTTTTATTGATAAGGTAGATTAGTATATATTTTAATCTTGTATGAAATGCTGGCTGACATTTTTCATACTAATTGTAAGACCATTACTTACACACTGAAACGTCTACGGATTTTTCCGTTTCTTTATCCGATCATGAAAAGGAGCACACGGCAGGTGTGACCAGTCTGCTGGGGATGCTCACTCCTCCATGGCCTCTGATCCCACTTCTGATGTTTTTGGATGCCCGTGTTTGCTCTGCTCCCGAATTGTATTGTTTTAATGGACTTTGATCTCGAATACTGTTCATTATACCCATATTTCATCTAATGTATCCTGTAAAGCATAACTTGATTTTGTTTTTAACCTTCATTATATTTAATACATGTATTGGCAGTTAGAATGAAGTACAAAGATTGTGCTGATATTTTAAAAAAGAAACCACATCGTAAAAATAGAGATGGTGTGTACACAATCTATCCTGAAAAAGGCATGAAAAAGAAAGTGTTCTGTGATATGACAACAGACGGAGGGGGGTGGACGGTAGGTCATTTATGATAAAATTATGCAAAAGTGTTAAAAATACTTTTATTTATCTATTTTGTTTAATTTTGTCAACAAGAATGCATCTTTGTATGATCACGCCTGTGCATATATATATTTGATTTTGGTTGATTTAATTGTTGTTTAAAAATAAAACTTCACCGAAATATGGCTGAAATATTGCCGACCCGGCATTAAACAATAACAATCAATCAATCAGTAATAGGACTTTTTACCTTTAATTAAAAAAATATAAAAAGAAACGAGGAATTCAACACCTGTGGTAAACATTATATCTTCAGCAAAATTATTAATTGTATAACAAGCAGAAGTATCCCATCTGCATAAATTGTATTCATTGATGAAAGATGTGTCTGTTGAATAAGTAAATTTAATACTACGTCAATAATTCATTCTGGCTAACAACAATATTTGTACGAAAGCAATGTGGTAGGGTATAATTCAGTCCTAGTTAAATGATACGTACATGTACACTTGTTGCTTTTGAATGATTTTAAAATTATGAAAAGCTGTATGGAAAGTTTATATACAGGTTTATAATTTCCAGAAATTTTTCAGAGACATTTTGATGCAACCTCGATGCAGTAATGTTTTTAAACAATTACACATTCTAAAAAAAATAATTTTTTGAGGCTTAATTATAGTATTAAAAATGAGATGAAAAGGTATGAATTGAATATCTTGGTAATTGAAGATTTGATAGGAGAGGTCAGCTTTATTAAAGACAGATGATAAAACAAGAAAATGTATGCCTGGGTTGAATATATTCTTGACCTATTTTGGTTGCAAATGATGAAAATAACAAATTTAAAAAATATTAAGAAATCGCAAACTTACCTTGATGTTCGAAATTCTGCCTTTCTGCAATCACCCTTATAAATCTATATCTATTTTTTCATAATTCATAAGACATTTTTGTGAAATTTTAATGAAAACTGATAGATTTCCTCTTTATTAAAGTTTGATCTTCTATTGTTGCCCCGACCTACCCCTGGGGTCACGATTTGAAGAAGCTTGAATCCACACTACCTGAGGATGATTTCATATTATTATGGCTTAAATTGCTGCTCTTGAGGAAAAGATATTTAAATATTTTTTTCCTACATATTCCTATGCAAAACTTTGATCACTCATTGTGACCCCACCTTGCCCCTCGGGGTCATAATTCGAATCTACACTACTTGAGGATGCTTCCATATAAATTTGACTAATCATTGCTTTGCTGTCCTGGAGAAAACAATTAAAAATATTTTTCCTATACCTGTTTATATTCCTATGTAAAACTTTAATCGCCCATCGTGGCCCCATCCTTTCACTTGGGGGTCATGATTTGAAGAAAGAATCTGCACCTAGCAATAAAGCTTTCACATAAGTTTCGTTTTTTCTGGCCTAAAGGTTATTTAGATGAAGATTTTTAAAAGGTTTCATTAGAATTTCACCAATTCTTAATTATCCCCACTTGAAAGAGGGCTTGGCCTTCCATTTGAGCAAAATTAAATTCCATTCAGCCTAGGGTGCTTTGTGGCAGATTTGGATGAAGTAGCCTAGTGGTCTTTGAGAAAAAGTCAAAAAATGCGGAAAGTTTACAGACAACAGACGAAACACAACAAACGAACACGTTTAAGGAGAGCTTATAACGCGTTAGCGTGTTACGACATTTAGCGCAGCCATCATAATGGAATATGACGTCACTGCACTGCAAACTTGAACTTGTGCGGGAAAAATATAGTGCAAGTTTTCTTGAAAAAGAGGAAATGTTTTACATCTCTTGTAATCCATAATTTCTCGTTTACAACAATTATGGAAAGAAATGGAATGAAAAACAATATTCATTTTCATTCCTACATTGATTCGATATATCCCTTTGAACTCGAAATAAAAGATACCACAGAGTCTGACACACCTGTTTCATATTTGAACATTTTACAAGGAAAGACTTTTATGGTGAAGGTATTGACTTAACTTTAGGGTGTCATCAAAAGCAAGTGTTTTGACTTGCCTAGATGGCCGAGCGGTCTAGCACACTGTTCCTGTATTGCTAGGAGACAGATTCAGTAGGTTGAGAGTTCAATCCCAGGTCGGGGCAGAAGTGGGTATCCTTATAAAAACTTAATTTCATTGTGCTTTATATATCAATACTTCTTCACTTAGGGCAGTTATGTTAGTTTAAGTGTTGTTGTAAAATGTGCTTTATAAATAAAATTAATTTCATTACAATGTGTATCGGTAACAATCCTCTTATAAAAACTAATGTTCAAATAACTTTATCTCCCTTCCATTCTCAATGACCGTGTAGTGCAGGGCGGCGCCGCGAGAATTTCATCGGCATCGAAAGCAAGTTTTCTGACTTGCCGAGATGGCCGAGCTGTCTAGTGCGCTGTTCTTGTACTGCTAGGAGACAGATTCCGTAGGTCGAGAGTTCAACCCCGGGTTTGGGCGGAAGTGGGTATCCTTTTGAAAAGTGAATATTATTGTGCTTTCTATATCAATACGTTTTCACTTAGAGCAGGTACGTTAGTTGAAGTGTTGTTGTAAAATGTGCTTTATAAATAAAATTAATTTCATTACAGTGTATGTCGGTAGCAATCTTCTAATAAAACTAATATTCAAATAACTGTTCCTTTTTCATGAAAGGTAATTCAAAGGAGAATTGATGGTTCCACAGATTTTAATGGGAAAAAATGGGCTGATTACGCAGAAGGATTTGGAAATCCAGCACACGAATATTGGCTAGGTATGGTTCCTTAACGTGTTGAAAAATATCTTACATACTCTCTTTTTCTAAATCTGTCATGTAGACTAAAACAGAAAAAATATATTCCATAAATTTATTCAAATATAATAATTTTTACTTAAGATAAGGAATCAAAAACTTTAAGTTGGGATTTATGATTTTTAAGTTTTAGTCTTAAAATATGACCACCTTAAATTTAAGGAAATGATGCAATCCATGTTCTGACAAAATCTGGAAAACAGAAGTTACGAATAGACGTGGCCAGATTTTCAGGAGCTAAGGGTTACGCTACATATTCAACATTTATAGTTAACAACAAATCAAACAAGTATAAACTAAAGGTCGGAGGATATAAGGGATCTCCTGGGATCAGTATGTACATTTCTTATATTAAAATCTGGAAGATAACTTAACGAAAGGTGCCATAAACATGGAATATATTGTATTTAAGTGATTTGAAAAGAACGGTAGAATATTTGTCAAAAATAAATTGTAAATAAAATTTTGATCATCTTTCTTGTAGAAGATAATCTCTCATCATTTAGTGGCATGTTTTTTTCCACCACTGACAGCGATAATGACACATGGGGTGGAAACTGTGCAGCCAAGTATGGAAATGGTTGGTGGCACAGTGCTTGCAGTCCTGGCAGCTTGAATGGGAAGTACTACAGAAAACCAACCGTAGCTACTTCTGCATTTACTTGGTATTACTGGTCTCACAAGAATTCATATGGACTTTTAAAGAGGGCACACATGATGATTAAACCGAAATGATAATAAGCATTTGTACAAGAAAGAAACATTGTCGATTGAGAAATAAAACAGATGAATTCGTATTTTAATTTCCTATTTGAAATATAGGATAGCAGAAAAAATCCTTTTCTCCGGGTAACTCCAAACAAAAACCTTTTGTATTGTTCGGTAAAGGTGAAAATAACAAACAGTAATTCATTTAAACAACAGAGCCTTCAATAGAGAAAAACACAAACCCCTGGAAACACCAGAGTTGTTGAGATCAGGTGCCTAGGAAGAGTGAGCATCACCTCATTTCTTAATCAAAAATAGATTCCTTCTATTAATTTTAAATTGAATTAGTGCCTGTTATGCTCAAACAAGATTAAGTTGCCGCTGATGATCAATGGGCGTCTCTTTCTCTTGAAGAAAGGTCATATCTTAATGGTAATTTTAAAAAAATAAGATATGTAATTTCCTATTAAAACGGATAAAGAATGCAGTAATAGCAAAAATATCATTACTTAGGAAAAATCGATTATAATTCATTGTAACTAATTTGTTATGCGATAACACATTTCTTTTCAATTTTTTTGTTTTTGTCCTGAAATATTATTTTAAAATATTATTTCCACATTTTTTCTCAACTACATTGAATAGATTTGAATAGAATATGTCCCATAGTGGATATTTAATCATCACATATCAATATAGATATGATTTATTTTTTACAAATTTAAAAATAATATATTCAACATTATAACACACTGTCGACATGTACAGTTCTTGGAAAAAGAATGCTTTGTACGGTGTTGTCCTTAATAAAATGATTTTTTAAGACTTGCCACAATCTTAACTCATCATAAATTAAAGACCAGACGTTTTCCAGTATAGATGACTGCTTCATCAATAAAAATGGAAATCGAATATTTCATATCGAAAGGTCATCTATGGAATTAGTAAAAAAAATATTATGATCTTTGTTTTAAAAAGTATTTTGATTTGGTATTAAAAAGATGTTGGTGTTTCTCATTGAAATATATATGTAGTATATGGAGACTAAGTATCTCTGCATTCTGTTGGAATTCCCAAGAACACACACTGTGCTCCTTTTCTAACCACTCTGTTTTAGTATTTATTCAACATCCTTGACATGACAAGATGGACACTTTAACTTGGGCCTTCAATTCAACTTTAAGATGTATCGTAGATGATTTTCAAATTAACATTATTCATTGTCATTCCTGTATTGATTCAATTATGACAAAAGACCACACGGGGCAGGTTTTACCGGACAACAGGGAATGTGCACTCCTCCATGGCATCTTAACCCACCTCTGTTTTCAGATGTTCGCAGATTTGTATTGTTTAATTTGACTTTGAGCATGGTTACTGTTCGTTACCTTCAAATGTCATTGATAAACACAAATAAACTCAGAAAAAAAAGAGATCGTTTGATTCAAATATAGATCTTTATTGAATATACACATCAATGGCAACTCTGTCAGAGTTGAAATGAGTTAATTTTTTCCATCATCAGCATCCCATATGCATGTAACAGTTTCAGATGGTATTTACGTCGTCCAACTGATTCAGATCGCAAAAATGTATTCCTGTGCAATCAAGTTATAAACTGACGTAGGCTTCTGACATAAAGTTACACAATGGATAATTATGGCTTAAATCAGAAGAATTAGCTATAGGAAAGAAACAACAGAAATCTGTGAATCCTGAGTTCGTATTTATGAATACGATGTATATATTTACGTTCACTTTTGCACATATAGACACTCGAAGTGGGTTAGCCATTTAGAAGCAATTTCTGTTAATACCTTGCAAAGAAGGAGTGTATTTTTGTCTCTTTATTGCATTTTATAATTTCACTTTGGAATAAAATATGCATAAACTTCCGAATGAATCCTACACTTTTCTCAGTTGATTCAACATTGCAATTCCACGGAATTTCACTATTTTTAATGCAGATTTTTTTTCCTTCAAATAATCTTCAAATAATCCAAGCGCTCCTCCGTGATCGGGAGGTCGTGAGTTCGAATCTTGTCCGCGAGTGACCTAAGTCGATAAAAAAAATGTGTAGCAACTGTTCCTTCGCCATGCGCTCGGCACTTTGAAGTGAAAGTTGCGGGTCCTTCGGATGAGACCTTAAAAACTGAGGCCCTGTGTCACGGTAGGCGTTGGCACGATAAAGATCCCTCGCTGTTCAATGGCCATGAGTGCCGAGTAAAGGTAAAATTTCAAGCCCTTCATCGGTATATGGTGACGTCTCTATATGAGTGAAAAATTCTCGAATGGGACGTAAAACAACACACAATCAATCAATCAATCAAATAATCCAAAAATCTGTTGGAATTCCCATGGGTATAAGTACCAATTGCGACCTTTTGTTAACAAAGCTATTTTTGTATTCATATGAAGCAGAATTTATTCAAATTCTTATACATGAGATAAAAGAATTTTTTTGCTGTGGCTTCAACTCGACATTTAGATAAATCGACGACGTATTATCAATTAACAATAGTTATTTCCATTCATATGTTAACACGATATATCCATTGAGCTTGAAAAGATACCACAGAGTCTGACACATCTGTTTCATATTTGGATATTTTACTAGAAAAAGACGTTAATGGTAATCTAACAACAAAGCTTCATGATAAACCTGATGACTTTAACTTTTCAATCGTCAACTTTCCCTACTTATGTAGCAATATACCCTTACCACCTGCATATTGGGGTGTATATCTCTCAGTTGATTTGATACGCAAGAGCATGCTCTACGTATGAACAATTTCTAAAACGAGGTAAGTTATTGACAAACAAGTTGATGAAACAAGAATATCAACCGTCTCGTTTAAAGTCATCGTTTCGTAAGTTCTATGATAGATACAATGACCTTGTCAGCAAATACAATCTATCATTAATTTATATGGTGACTGACTTTTTGTTCAGCCATTATTATACACTAAATTGTCGACGAATTTTCCCGTTATTTCCCGATCATGACAAGGTAGCACACGGCGGGCGTGACCGGTCGGAAGGGGATGCTCACTCCTCCATGGCATCTGATCCCACCTCTGATGTTTTTGGAGGTCCGTGTTTGCACTGCTCCCGATTTTATTGTTTTAGTGGACTTCAATTGAATACTGTTCGCTTTCTCCATATTTCATAAAACAATTCTCGCCATTGTACTTACAGAGGACAAGCCTCAATAATAATATTCGACATAGACATGACGACAACTTCAGAAGTAGAGGTGCAAAATTATTTCCATTACTTCCATGTTTGTACATTCCAATATTGACGTTGATACCTTTTATTCTGGCTGCTTCTCTTTGTGATATAAATTATTTGAAATTCTATGACGATTTTCTATCACTCAATTTTCTGTACTGCTCTTTTATCTTAGCTCTAATCTTAAAACGGAAAATATCGGAAATCGGGAACTTTGGCACTAATATCCTAGAGCGTTTTTAAGGGGTCAAAACCCATAAAAATTACGAGTAAATCGGAAGAGTAGGCAAAGTCTGCATATTAAATGGACTCAGATATCATATTTCATTTTATCATAGGATTTTATTTTATCCTATTTATCAACTGGATTTAGATATTATATTTATTACTAGGACCTGTCGCCTCTTTTCATGAACTCATATATTGTAAAAGTGAAAGAAGAAATGCAGAAGAAGTACGGTAACAATGAGATTACTGATATGACTTTAGAACAAAAGAACTAGAGTAGAAATATTCTGTAGAAGGAGGATGCCTTAGGCTAATGGAGTTAAAAGATAAGTAACAGCAAGTCATTTGACAAGTACTCTGAGTTCTTAACTGACAATATCTATGTAGTGTTTGGATACCATATCTATATAAAATTTGGATACCAGGTCTTCCAACAATATATCAAATAAGAATGGCCTGATTATTCCGTATCTGGTAACTTTAATTTCCGTACGTCTTAAGTAGAATCCAACTAATAAATAAATGAAATGTCTTTAAATGCGGAGTGTATCAATTGTTAAAATTAGTCAAAATACTGAATGTTTTCTTGCCTATGTTGGAAACGTTTCCTAACCTTAATTTGATTTTAAATTTCATTTCTTAAAAAAATATAATTATGTCGTATAAGCATTCAAAACAAAATAAGAAGCAATCAAATGAAATAAATAAACTATGAGTACCAGGGTATATATATAAATAAACAATGAAATTGACTCAATATATAAAACTTACTGAAAAGGTGTTTCTTCGTACGAGGGTCATTCAAAAAATATGTAGATAATATTGCTCATTGCGATATTATTTTTACAAGATTTATGATCAACATATTTTCATGTGCAAAACATTTATTTTGTCGTTGTGTAAAGTTTCACATTCCATTTGACTAAATAGAAATCCTGTCACTTGATTTGAAATTCAACATGTTTTGTCACCACGGAGCACTCTGAACTACATTGTAACGTCAAAAACAACGTCGTGAAAGTTACTCACAATTATTCTTACTCGTCATTTCTCACACGGTTTGTAGCGCCTTATAAACTTATTTAAAAGGTCTCCATAATACTTGACACAAATATAATTTGCTTACAATTGTTTGAAAAACATAAGTTAGTCTGTCAGTGTTTTCAAATTCTTTACTGCGTAAATTTGCTTTTATATAAGTTCCACAACAATGAAGCCGCATATCATTTTCCATGACGTTACTTACATGTAGTCTTTTGGCGAGATTTTTATTGAAAGTCTGCTTCTTCACAGACTGTACATTGTCCGATTCAAAGTCTCTTCCACTCAAACACCATCTTTACCATTAATATACAAGTGCACAACTCACTTCTGGTATATTTCCTGGTTTCTCAAGCATTTGCAGAGTTTGTTTTATTAGATGTTTCCTTAGAGCGAAACAAAATTGCTACTTGCTGCTCCGTGATATCCTTAGCTTTAACATCGCCTTTTTTTCGTTTTTATTTCAGAGAGGACTTTCTGTCTTCATATTCTCTCTAACGAAGCAATGTATTACATTACGATTT